CTTTCCCTCCACCTGAACCCCACCTTTCCCCCCACCTTTCCCCTCTGGATGTCCTAAACTAATTAGTTTCCTAGTGGATCGTTCGAAAACTAGGGTTCTCTGTAAACTAGGAATGGATTCTGTACGGCCTGCTGGCGTGCCTTTTGTCGTGCCGCTGTGAGCGCGAGGTGTTGCTGTGGTTAATCCTGGCTTTGCGTAGAGCTAAGCTACTGGTATTAGGGGGTACTGAAGGTCCTGACGCGCATAGGTAGGTTGGTCTGTAGGCCTTGTTTTGTCGCTCCAGGGTGGTGTGCTCGCACCCGGCGGTTCTACCCTTTCATGAAGCCTAGCTTTCATTGCTTTTCAGTTTGTAAGAGGAACTTCTCATGAAGATCAGTGGTCATGTGTTTTTCTGCACTGTGACGCGCAGATGGTGGGTCGCGCGGGGCGGCCCCAATTCGACACGGAGGGCGTCGCCGTCATCATGACACAGAAAGAGGTGCGTGTGTGCATATGTGTCTGTGTGCTTGTGTGTGTGCAAGGATACGCATGTGGGTTTGGGTTTCGCGTGTGTCTGGGTGTAAATCCCCACCCCCCACCCCCCCACCCACGCACACGCATTGGTGCCGTACTCGCCCGTTTCTGACTTGCGCAGCTCCGACCGTTAAAACACACCCGCCCCGCCCCGCCCTTAACTCAAAATCCGAGTTTGATGGGGTAGGGTGGAGTAGTTCCAGGATACGGCAGGGTACGGCAGGTTAGGATAGGGCCGCGTGGGATGGCCGGTAGTTGGGGGCTTTTTTTCTACTAATGTTTTCCAACTAATGTTTTTTGTGCAACTTGCATATATAATTCCTCTGTGTGACATTTTCCCTCTATTCCCCCCGTCTTGTGTTTTGAACGCTACGGCGGTTGATTGGTTGTTTCTCATCTCGCGTATGACCCCTCCCTGTCCCCTGCACACATACGTACATACATACAGACCTACTCCCGCTACGCCAGCCTGTTGAGCGGCTCCGAGCCCGTGGAGTCCTGTCTCCACGACTGCCTCGCTGAGCACCTCAATGCGGAGGTGGTACTGTCGACTGTACGGGACCTGGATACCGCCACGCAGTGGCTGAAAACCACTTTTCTGTACGTTAGGGTGAGTGAAGTAAAGCCCCCCACTAAATAATCCGCAGCGGGGATCTGTGTGTATGTGTGTGTGTGTGTCTCTGTATGGGGGGGTGATTGAGGGGGGGAGCAGTGCAACGGGCAAGCCGGGGGTAAGTGGGAAAGCGGCCCCTCAATACTCACACACACAGACACCCCCTAAGACATGATGACCTCAGACGTGTCACGCCCACGCCCTGAACCACCCTTGAAAACCTTGTAAGACCTTTTAAGTATTATTTTTAATAAAGCACCATACGAATTATCGCTTCGATGCTTACATACACAGACGTACACATGCGGCAATCCCCCCCCATCGCAGGTACGCAAATTACCCCGGGCCTACGGATTGGACCCCCCGGCGGGGGCCCTGGCCTCCGATGCGGCCTTTGACCGTTGGTTGACTGGCCGGTTGGTGGGGCAGGCGGTGATGCGGCTGTCGGAAATTGGACTGGTGGGTGATGGGGGGGAGATGGGGGTTGCAAATGGATGGGGGGGGGAAGGGGGTCGGGGAACCCCGCTGTCGGGGTCAGGTTCCCGGGGAGAAGAGCTTTTCGGCCCTCGTTTGTTCGTTGTGGGGGCCGGATGATGCATGCGGCCGGCATTATTTTACCACCCTTAGTGGCTCCCATCCACACTCCACACACCTTGACCACACACGTCTCAGGACAGCAGGACAGCAGAGGCACCCGCGGCCGCACTGTACTGCTGTGTGCATTTTCGACGACCAACTAGCATTATTGCTGGTATTCTCGCTCCGATAAAACAGCTACGTTTTTCATAGTGCGTCCCGGTTTTACTTCGCTGTGCTGTGCTGTGTGCTGTGCTGTGTGCTGTGCTGTGTGCTGTGCTGTGTGCTGTGCTGTGCGCCCGTCACTGGACCACCAAATGGCAGAAGATAAGATATACACTGCGGAAAAAGTATTGCAGGTTTTTGTTCGTTCGCTTCACGGACGGCGGCTTTTTCCATCATGAACGATTTGCCGTACGACAAATCCGCCACTATAATGTTTTCACACGTGAACATACATACATACATAAATACACACATACATCCTACCAGGTGTCTCAGGACCCCAACACCGGCGCGCTTCGAGCTCTTGAGCCGGGTCGTATAATGGCGCACAGCTACTTGAGACTGGAGACCATGAAGGCCATCACGCAGGTACGTGCGA